ACTTTCTCTCCATCTCTCACTAGATTTTCAATTATATTTTTAGAAAATTTATTGTTTTTACTTGACTTGGCGCGACAATAGGACCTTTGGCAAGAGGCGGACAAGCGAAGTGCCTAAGACGTTTATTATATTTAATTGCGTGAAAAGTTTCTCTTTGCCTCAGCACTATAAGTTGGTCACACAAAAATAATTGAAACAGTATTTCTTTTCTAACTTGTATCTCATTTCAATAAAAAAAAAAAAAAATTTTTTTTTTGTAAATTTTCTATGGTTTAGCCTATTTCTATGAATGTTTCATTATTTATTTATTTATTTATTTTAATTCTACTTATACATGAAACTCAACTAAACAAATGACAGTCGAGTTCATTGGCACTTAAAGCAAAATTTCTATTAAATTAATAATAAAACTTAGTATAAGTACAATAAAACAAATAAGACGGAAAAAAAAAGAAAAAAAGCATGTACACTACCAGCATAGAGCCACACTTACAACCGGTACAGGACCAAATTGCAAATGAACCCCTAAGCCATCGTAAATATGCATAAGCCTGGCAACCAATAATACTTAACAACAATTCATTTTCCAATCGTAACGACTTTTTAAGGATAAAAACTAGTTTAGGTAAGACATAGGTAAATCGCGCGTATTAAGCAATGTTCCTTTAATGGACTTTAAGGAGGCCGATAACGAGAATAAGTGATAGACGTCATTCAGGTTCTTGCAAACTACTCTGAGCGGATTAAACAGCGCATTATTAAACGAATTTTGCTCAGTTAGCTGTGTACAGTCAGCTTTGCCTTCCAGGTGCTTCAATTTACCTAAATCAAGTGAATCGTTGACAAAAAGATGGTCTGCAATGTCCAGGCGTTCCAAGTGCTTAGAATAGGGTTAACTCACTTACCTTGTCGCATTCTACTCAGCGTCTATTTTTATTTAAAACCCTGGAAATGGATTTAAAAAAAAAAAATTCGCACATTGTGACCGCCCGCTATATTTAATTTAAAATTAATATTCTCAACGTGTCATATTCTATTCTCCAAGGCTCTTAATTAAAGCCTATATTAAAGTAATTGGGAAAGGAAAAGGGAATTCACCGCTATGCCACATTGCGTTATCATCGTAATTAAAGATGTGTGTAAAGAAATTGCAAACTTGATTGGAAATATGGAAGTGTCCGAAATATCGATTGAAGGTTTCCATGCTGACAAGAAATCATATTGAGCAAAAGCTTATAGAATGAACAAAAAGCTATAGATTAACATACTTAGTCACACACAAACTGGTTTTACTTCTTACTGGGGAAATTATGCTTAGATAGCTGTTAAGTCAACGATGCCAGTAGGGGATCGATCTATTATTAGAAAATCATCATTAACAAGTGAGAATACTTGATATCCATTGCATGAAAATAATATTTAACAACTTGGAAAATTATATTCATCTGCGATTGAGTCTTTCATGACCATCATGATCGCCGCCTAAAACTGATCGCTTGCTTTCAAATGATACAAAGACATGCCATTTTGTATTGTTGTATTTGTTGTAGTTTATAAATGACAAGCACAAAAACCAAAAGTTTTTTTTTTATTTCTGCAAAGAAAGGTAGTCTTAGGTGATGTTGTATTGCGGTCGTGTTCTTTGTCCTTTGATTTGGCTCAATTTCAACACCAGCCTGCTTTCAAAAACGACCAATCCTTGCGGTGAACTTGATATTGATTGTTTGGTTTTTTTGCGATCAGGACGCAGAAATACCCAAATATCACGCGGACAGACGGACATAGTTTAATGGATTTAGAATTTGATACTGATAAAGAATGTATGTGTGGCTGGTGCCAACATTATGACAAAATGAATATGCCACTCATGCTTCAGTGATCGGTATAAAAGTATATTGAAAATGTCGTTTTATTGTTGGTGTTTTTGCTAGCCGAGTAAAAGCCTAGTCTCTCTGTTGTGCGATACAAACTCGTGAATTTTTTTTGACGAATTTTTAAGTCAAGTTTAAACTTTTTCTAATTAAAGTTATATTGTCGTTGTCTTAATTTTTATGTGCAATCAGTCGGGGGATGTTCCTTACACGCGTACACATTGTATTGGTGAGAAAGATTTGTGACAGAGGAGGGGAGAAAGAGAATGTATTGTTATTGTATATTCGGGGTCAAAATCTACAATTGCACAAATCCTTGCGCAGAACAAAATCTTCTCAATTTCGTGAGCAAACAGTTGTTGTTTTTGAATCACATTCAATTTAAAATTAATCTCTGGCCTTTCATGAAGAACGTATATGTGCTAAACTTTCTATTTCAAACGTTGTTGTGGTCTTGATTTGAAGCACTGTTTTGTAGACAGACGAACAGACAAACAAACAAACATGGTTAAATTGATCAAAAATGTGAAGCGTGCCAAAAATGTATGCACTTTATACAGTCTTGACTAAGTATTTGCGCGACACAAAAATAAGTGCATCTCTAACACACTGCTGTTCTTCTGTGGTGGATGTTGATTGTACTACTTTCGATATGTATTGAATATACTTAAAACATATTAACCCATTAAGAAAAATTCTCATTGTTCTTTGGCAGTTGCGACAACGTAAATGGTACCCAGAAAGTGCTAAATACGACAGTGACTTTTTCATATAAATGTATTATCTTTGACGTTTATTCACAATAGTATGGCTCACTCACGCAATATGTACTGATCACGGCTTTTCGTAGTTTTGAATAGGTCGCGTTCTGTAGCTGAAAAAAAATTCTATTTGCGGGAAACGTTACTTCTCTAGCTTGCTTTGAAAGACAGTGCTGTCTAATCTTTACAGGTGATAAGCAATGAATGCATTACCATATTCTAAGGCCAAGTAACCGTAATGTGGACTAGTCATAGTGTCGTGAGTTCTCGATACGATGAAAACCGGTCTTATATGGAAAAACACGCTCAGTTAGTAACATAGAACTGGAATACGATATCCTCCTCCCTCCCTTCATAGACATCAGACTTAACAATGGTTTTAATCAATGGCTTACTGCCTATTCGAGCTTCCATCTGTGTGGCGATAACTAAAAAATGAGTCCCCTTAGTAGCCTCAGAAGCTTTAGTTTCCTGCCGATGTACACAGAATCCATATATCCCCTAAGAGATAAGAGAGACAATATCGAGATAGACAGATAGTTTGGATAAGATGTCTGATGTCACCTTCTCTACTATATATAATTGGAAGTTTAATAAAAAATCCGCGAAAACTTGGGAACACTCATGAAAAAAATAAAAGTAAACAAATTGCTAAGAGGTCCGTAAGATTCATTGATAAATTCTGTTCATAGACAAGAAGAGAGCATTTTTATTTGCTGCAACCTGTTTCAACTCACACGATATATGTTGCTGCAACCAATATTTATGTTCGGAATTTGTCAACATATCACTGGCTGCATATTGATAACAACAAATGGTGCTTACTAACAATGTTGCTATTAGCGGTACGATGGTGGTTGGTTAGCTTGCTCTATGCTAAGTTTTAGTTTTAAAAAATCCGTCGGTATGATTGGACGTGTTTAACGGTCAATGAATAGAACGTGTTGTGGTACGCATTAAATTTCATTTTGGTGTGTATGTGTTATATCCATAAACATATATATATATATATATATGTATATATATATTTATATATATACATTTATGTTTATACATATATATATGTATACATATATATGTATATATTTATACATATATATATATATACCTTGTAAATGTTAACCAGTCTTTTTATGTGAAAAAAAAGGAGAAAAACCAGTAAAAAATGTCAAAAAAAAAAAATAATAATAATAAAATAAAGTAAATATGTATGTATAAAGCAAGAAGAAGAAGAAGGAGTTTGAAATAGCTAAAAAGCTGTGCATAAACCGAGATATGTTTATAGAATTACACCAAACCGTCTGTTCCCCGTCTTGTGGTTTTTTTTTTCTTTCACAAGTCACGAAGAGAAAGAGATAAACAAGCAAATTCAGTTACCGGTTTTTCGGTCGCACTTAACAAACAACATTTCTTATTTGGCATTTATTTGTGTCTCTGTGTGCGCTTTTGTGTGTTTGCGTACGTTTGCGTGCACTTTTGTACGTGCTAACGCGTGTTTTTATCTGTTATGTTAGAGTTCATTTACACACATACATATATGATATGTCTGCATATCTAGCGTATACTAAAACTGACTTTGCCGTGGTGGTGTCGTCGTTATAAAAATGCATAATATTGGCCTTTTAAATGAGCTATTGTTGTTGTTGTTGCGGCTTCTTCTTCTTCTTCTTCCTCTTCTTCTTCTTTTTCTTCTTTTGGCGTCATTAACACTAGCTTTGTATTTTGTTTGCGTCTTTTTGTGCTTGGGTTCATTCAAGTTTGTATTTTAGTAAAGTTTATTTTTTTTTTTCAAGTTTCCTTTTTTATTAGCTTGCTGGGAATGCTAGCTAGCTAGCTTATAGTTGCCACATACAGACACTTTTTCCACAAGCAAAACATAACAATAATAATAATAACAACAACAACAACTACAACAACAACAACAACAACAACAACAACAACAACAACAACAACAACAATATTAATAACGTCAAACGTTCAACATGGCTTTATGCATTAAGTCAAACAAATTCCAGAATAACAGGATTATTTTAAAGTTTTTTCTTTTCGTCGACGGCGATGATGGCTTTTGAAAAATGATACACATATATATGTATATATATATATATATATATAGAGAGTTTACTGAAATTTTCGTTCGTTAAGAGTATTTGTATTAAAAAATTTTTTTCAATTCAGTGAAAGGTAATTTGATAAATAATTACAGCTTCATTCACATCTTGCTGCAGAAAAATACATGAAAAAAAGAAAAAAATTTAAGCCAATAAATAAATGAAAAGCAATAAAGAGATTAAAAAATTTGCTATGATACATTGAAAATTATTTTCATATATAAAGGTATTTGTGTATGTGTACGTGCGCGCATTTTAAAACGAATTAATTCACATACATATATAAATATATATATATATATACGTATAAGTGCATAGTTTATAGATATGTAATTTATGTTTACGCTCCTTACTGCCTCCTAAATGTGAATTTGTCGTTTGAATGCACAAAGAAAAACTTTAAACCATTAAAAGATAAAAATTACAAATTTTCCCTCATCTTGGTTTAAAAACAAAAAAAAAAAAGAAGGAATTATTCTTGATCAAAGTGTACATAGGTAAGCCATTAAAAATTTGGAATTAAGAATTTTTTTAATAAAAATCTTAAGTAGAGACCAATATATATATATATAGAAAAAATATCTTAAAATAGTAATAATAATAAAAAAAAAAAAAAATTGTGTATTAAAGTAATTTAATAATAATAATAAAAAAAAAGAAGGAAATTCTACCCTTTTAACCTTTTGACATTTCCTTGTAAATACTTAAATATTCAAATTCATTCCCTTTAAGAATCTTATGAAAATATTGTTGCCTACCTTTATAGGAGCATTTTTTAAAAATATTATTGCCTACTCTATAGAAATATGCTTTCATATTTATGGTATTCACTATTTCTTTTGTTATTTAAAGTTATTCAAAAAGTTTTTGTTTTCCTTTCGACGCTGAGTTAAATGAATTCGAGTTATGCGCCTTTAATCTACGGGGAAATTTGTTAGGTTCCCTAAGTTTGTTAATATTTGCTTTGTTTATTCCAAATAATGGTAAAGAGAGATATTTAAGATTGCTTTCTTAGTTAAAGTAATTAAATTTTTATCATTCATATCTAACGCTCGTTGGTGTACTAAAGTTGTTATGTTGTTTGTTTTTTCATAAGGACTGTAACATAACATGGCCGCGTTTAGAGTTCTGGTAAATTTTTCTCTCTGCCCCCCTCCCTCCCTACCACTTCTTTTTAATTAATAAGAGCTTGGAATTGCCTAGTAATGCACAGCGAATTTTTACATGCATCTCTCTTTAAGATAATTTTAAACGTTCACCCTATTCCATTGCTTTTTCGCGCCATAAACTGCTTAACCGTAAAAGATCTAATGCGAGTTCAATGTCTGCCTAGGATCGGACCAGAAAATGTCATTTGTGTTCTTAAGCTTTGTTATTTAAAAAATGTTATCGAGATTGGATTATTGAATTCCCCTACTCGTTATGTTTCGACCTGTTGCAACTTGGTACAGGTCCAAAACCGAGGATAATTTCAACCACAACACGATAATTTTTAAGGTATTTTAAGGGCCATTGCTAAACAGGGAAAATTTCAATACGCCGCTGAACATGTACCCGTTCCCTTTTTTTAAAGATCAATTTAAAATATAAGCGTGGTTCACTCAATTCTTCATATACGAAAAAAAAAATTTTTAAATTTCGCCGTAGTTTCTTGAATGAATTACGATACTTTGGAGATATGGAAAAAAAGTTGTGGAAGTTCAGCCTAAAACTGAACTTGATAGACTTACTAAAAATTGCATAATCAGACAAAGTCTTCTTCCCAGGGATACTTATGCATGAAATGTCGATAGATTTAGTCTTGACTATTATAAGATCAAAGGGTAAATGGACAGAAGGACAGATGATAATAAGGCAGATAGAAAAAGAGATAAACAGGTGAAGTCTCACGCTAATAATATAAATTACTTATCTTGTTTCGTCGGTGTCAACTTAAACGAATAAGAAACTTTAAAAGCGATCAAAATCTTTTTAGGTGTTATGTGTTATGTCAAAAGGTGTTGAAATCTCTCTTCTCTCTGTACATATTTTCTATTTACGAAAGAGCCGTGTTTAATTTAGCTGACATATATTTTGAATGCAGGTATCCGAGAATTGCCCCCCGGGTGAACATAGTTTTCTTGCTTGCTTTTCTGTTTACTTATGAAACTTTATGTTTATGTTTTTCTATTATATAGAGAGAGATACGTAGTGACCTCTATCCTCACACTCTGTACACTAAGTTGAAGTAAAAGTAAATATCTTATCTTTGTGTCTTGAAAATAAACAGCACAGAGCCACTAACTTAATTGTTTCTTCTTCTTCGTTATTATTTTTCTAAACATTTTTTCTTATTACTTAACCTTGTTTTTATTAAATCTTTTATAGCTTGTGACTTAGGAGAAAGTCTTTTTTTTTTTAATATTTTTAAAACAATTTCGCAACTTTTTTAAGCATTTTAAAATTAATTAATGTCCACCTAATAACACAGTTATAGCGAACCATGTAATTACTGAGGAATTCTTAAGAGGAATGAGAAAAAATGAAGAAATTCATTTAATAAAATATGACCTAAAAAGTTTTTATGAGGTTTTACCTTTTGAAATAAAAATCGCTGGATGGGCTTTACAATAACAACACAAAAAAAAAATCGCTTTCCTTTAATGTCGCAAATTTCTGTCACTCGAATTTCAATTTGGAAAACATTGGCAGAATATCTCTTAAGTTATCATCTTAAGCTTGGCCTATGATTTTGCCTTTGCGTTTTAAGAAGCGCGAAACCAATGCAAAAATTTCAGAAAATCTTTTTTCTTTTATCTAAATGCTGTCATTAATAGTCAAGAATGATATAAGAAGATGATCTTTGGCGTGGTAGAATTTTAGATGACATAGAAATTAGATTGAATAAGTTCGTGGGGTGACATATATAGATGCGGCCTCTATTGATCAGTCCGTATGCTTTTTAAAAATGTGCCAAAAGTTCATGACATCGCAACCATTAGTTAACAAGTTACAGTTGTTTTAGTAAAGCTGCTCTCGTTTTTCTAAAAGAACGGAAAACCTTGAATTTCCCACGTAAGAGTCCATTGGTTTTATAGCACACAGATGATAGGGGTACTTCAGACTCGAAATGTGTTTTTCCAATAAGTTTCATCCTTTTCGCGATCGCATTTTTGACAATATCTTTAACCCGTTTTTGGAATGAATTGTGTCACGATGTCGCCCTCAGTCACTTGTGTAAATAATCGCAATAATTAAAATATCATTGATTTATTCACAACTATATATGTACACAAAATACTACACATAGGCCATACGTTTTTTTTATTTCGACTTGTATTAAAAAAAAACGCATTCCAAAAATAAGAAAAAACTTATTTAGTGAACATATTTTCAACAAACAAAGCTTCCGTTTAATAACTGGTAGAAGAAAATATTAAATGTGATACTAAAGTTACTGTTCTCGAATAGTATACACAGTCCCTGAATGCATCCTTATTTTAAATTGCGTCTTCGATTACGTGCTTTCTGGTCGAGATATGAGGTATCTTTCAGTCTGCGTGGCTGAGATTCCCATCATCTTGTAATAATACACAGTTTGCGAAGAGGATTAATTCTGATGTCATGAGTAAAGTAAACAAGTAAGAACACTATAGTGAAACACGCTCCGCCATTACATATCCTACACCGCTTCGCTTAATGCAGTTGTTCGAAATAATGTCCTCTATGGGAAGTATGCGAAAAAGTGATCCGATCAGAACCATTTTCCATAGCGTTGGTCTGTGGTCTGAAACATGTCAGTTTATCGAATTTCATCGAAATGCAATAAAAATTTGGGAACGGTAGGTTGAACGCAAAAGAACAAGACGGACAGACAAGTTTAGAATCCCTTTCATTCCATACTTAATATATGCTTGTATACAATTTTTTTGAAAAAGACATATGAAATTATCAAACATTTTAAGTTCAAAGTACAAAGGAGCCTCAAAGGCTCATTGTGATAAAATTAGGATTTAAATAACATTCTAAAGAGAAATATCTTAGGGCTTTTCGATAAATTAATTTAAACATTATTTAGTAAGATTTTATAAGAAAATTGAATAGCATTTTCCAAAAATAATTTGTTCTAGTCCTTACACTATATAAAGATGTCAAAAGAAGGCGCTTTTTAAGTGACTCCTTCAGTTAAGCGAATAAAAAATCCATGGAGATTTGTCTGCCCTAGTAAGTCGCAGAGTCTTACCGATATCAGTTTTCTCTAGCGACTTGAAATATTCATTAGATTCAGAACAGATTTTGTAAATACTTTTGCGTAAGATAGTTCTCTCTCTCTCTCTCTCTCTCTCTCTCTTTCTTTCTTTCTTTCTTTCTTTCTTTCTTTCTCCCTCTTTCTTTCTTTCTTTCTCTCTCTCTCCCTCTCTCCCTCTCTCCCTCTTTCTTTCTCTCTCTCTCTCTCTTTCTCTCTTTGTCTCTCCCTCTTTCTCTCTTTCTTTCTTTCTTTCTTTCTCTTTGTGTCTCTTATGGTACTGCTTCTTTCTATTCGACCGGATTTGGAGCTAAGCTATTTAAACCATCGATCATGGGTTTGCATAAAATTTGCTAATGAATTCCGCAAACTGTATGAAATAATCTAAGTAAACCTAAATGAGTACTAAAACTCATAGCTAAAGCGATAACGGCTATCAATATATGAAATCATAGTAAATGGGATATCACCTGAAAATCATGGCATCTTGAATCACCCAGTGCAACAAGGGCAGTCGAGAGCAACGAAGAACTACGACTTTGCCATTCGATAGCACTATCCTTAAACTATTCGCTGAAGCGTGTGCAAAATAGTTTCTTAGACCTTTGTACTTTGATGTAGTCTGCCATATGCGAGAAACTTTATTTTCCCTTCTTAATTATTACGAAAGTGCTGCTATCCTTACGAGTGATGACACTCGCACACAACGTAACCAGTCTCATGGTGAACATATAAAGATGGATAACGAGATTGATTAATCACTAGTGGAAAAAATAGTTATCAAGCATTAGTTGAGCAAAGAGTCACTAAACTGTTTAAACTGTTTTTAAATGCAGAAATTGAGCATAGATTATCGGTCAATTAATATTTTATTTATTTTGTGCATTTAGTGCTTTATTTACTGGTTTATCTCATTTTATCGACTCTTATCATTTTATTTTATTTTATTTATTTTTTTTATTGTGTTCAACATTATATCTGACAATTCAATCCACACTATTAATCATTGGTTTTATGGGTGTATGTAAAAAATTTCGTTATCAACAACAACAACAAAGTGCATGGAATTGTGAAAGTGGGACAATTTCAAATCAAATATTGTGGAAATGTTGCGAAAGTAATCGCATGTTAAATCCGGTCTATTAACTCTTTAGCTATATGGATACATACACATATTCATAAAATAATTTCCTTTTTGCGTAATTTTTCAATCTCTATTAGCCTATCATTAAATAAGGCCTTCTACGCAATAAACTTTTGAGTGTAATCTGA